ATTTTTATAGTTCAAAATATTGGAGCTAAAATAACTGAATTATTATATTACCAGATTTAACATTTTTGATTGAATAATACAATCCAAAATTTTAAATCTAGCATTATATTTTTATATTTTAGCTCCGCCGTTGTGAATTTTTGTAATTTGACTCCAGATTCGTAATTAGCAACGTCAAAAACTTCCGAATAACAAATTTCAATCAGATTTGAGCAATTTTGAAAAAGTTTATCGCATCTTACGTAAAACTAAAATTATTGGGAAAAGCTTTATTCTAACTGTGCATAATAAATATTTATTATCGTTATTCCTCAAAGCGGGCCATTTTTTTTCTCAACGGTTTTTTACTCAAAAATGTGGGCAGAATACAATAGTATTTTTTAATTTTGCATAGAATGTGAAGAAATGTTTTTCATTCCAATTTTATAAATAAATAATTTTAAAAATATAAGAATTTGTTCTCCAAAATAAGGAATATTTTTAAATTCTAGGTTTTAACAGAATTAAAAATTTAATTGTTTATATATGTTTGACTTTAACAAAAAATTTTTTTAATCTAAAAATTTTACATCATTTTCAATTCTATATAGGGTTATAAAAAAATAAGTTGAATTGAAAAAAAATTATTTTAATTTTAGCTGATCCGTTTGGCAAAGCCTGACCCCATTAATAATAATTAATAAAAATTAATTAATAAGAAAAAAAATGGAGAAAACGGCTCGATCACCATACTACCCTCTTAATAATTAATTTATTAACCCCTGTGCGAATTGTAAATTGATTAAAAAGCCGAATTAATAGAGGCCACCACAGTTGAGCCAGCTCTGGTAAAAATATAGTCAGACCAACCTGAGTATTGATATTGTCAGGCGACCAATGGTTGAAACAGTTAGGCCAGCGCCAGCCAGAGTTTCACCGACCATTGACACTAATATACTTCTATCAACCTTTACTATTTCCGGAGTCAATTTTAATATGGCTGTTGTGCATTTTAGCCACTATACTCCAGTTTTGGTCATTTTTAATTTTTTATTCAATTTCCATTTAATTATTTATTATAATTCATATTTATTGTTATAATAATATAGTACTGCAGGAAATAAATGGGCGGAATATAAATAATTACAATAAATATTATTAACTCCTGGTCAAAAGTGGCTTTAAAGTGGCCAAAACTGGTGCTTCTACCCTAATACTCCGGAAGTAGTAAAAGTTGACAGAAATGCATAAAAATTCCAGACTGTTTAAGTTTTACTAAGTTGTAAGAAATAAAAGTTAATACTTTTTTTCCTGCAAGTTTGATACTTTGAAAAACAGATGAGATGAGGAAGAAAGTCTAAAAAAAAATTAAAACAAAAACACAGTACACGAAAAATTTAACAAACACACTGCAAAAAGAAACACGGCCTTAAAATACATTGTAGTCACTTTTAAGATATTTAAAACATCTTATTATTAAGATCAGTCTTAAATTCAGCACTATCTGCTTGAATGATTTAAAATTCTTAAAAATCCATTGCGTAAATTCTCCATTGACTGTCTTAAAAATGTTGCATCTTAATTTAAGGCTTCCATTCCGCCCATTCCGCCTTAATAAAGTAAACCTCTCTATTTTCTGTTAATAATAAAAGAAATTTGTAAAAATTAACATTTTACAATTAATTTAACTTTTTGTTAAAAAGGAAATGTATTGATAATAACTATAACTACTTAAATTAATGTTGTCGATAAAATTGTGTTTATACATATAAAGAAACTGAATGTGAAATTAATAATAGTTTCAATAAGTTTATAAGGTGAAATACATGTATTAACCTGGTCATATATTTTATCTTGGGCTAAATTACATATAATAGAACAGCCAGTGTTATGCTTCTGTTGACCCATACTGACCCTGTACTGGAGTCAGTACCTATATTCTATTATAACAGGCTGTCATTGTAGAATCTAGATTTTTCTTTCTGATTAATCAAAATTCAAAAATTGTATTTCTAAATATCATTCATGAGCAATATGCACACCTTAACTTTTAAATTTCTTCTCATGTATAAACATATATTATTTTTTATTTTATTTTTTTAAATAATTCATTTATTTGCACTAATTCTGAATTATAACTCAAGTGACAAATTGAAAGTCAATTTACACAATGCATTAGAATTATATTTATAGCATCCATGTGCATATTATATAATTTATCTTTACTCAATATAGTGATTTCAATGAATACCCGTGTGGAAAATGAAAATTGGTCCTAGCCAGGTCCTACCTATTTTGCCCTGTTAATAGCTTGGTCCTAGGTTGGCAGTGTAGGTTGGACCAACAATGGGTGGTGATGCGATTCTAGCCTGGTCCTAACTTGGGAGCCTAGTTAGGACCAGTTTATGGGTCCATTTTAGGACCTAGAAAGGACCATCTCAGACAGTATTTTCTATTTCATTATAATTTTAATTAGTTAATAATATTTGTTAAAGAAATAACCTAAATTATTAATAATAAGTATTAGTTTTAATTAATTATTATTTTTTTCAATTAAGTGATGACCAAAAGCGAATTCATAAATAATGTTAGTATATGTAGAGATTAATATATATTCCTCTAATATATACATTAAAAATTATAAAAAAATTAGAAATTTGTTAATTAAATTATTTTACAGTATATATAATCATTAAATTGCATACTTATACGAATACAATGCAGAAAAATCGGAATAAACGCAAACCTAAGAAGTAAATAAAATCTAACGCACGCGGGAATCGAACCTACGACCTACGGACTACGAGACTAACGCCCTAACCACTATGCTAATGAAACTAGTTGAGATCAAAATTTTTATTGTCAGTGACTTGTGGACTTGCTTTTGATGATTCAATATAGTAATTATTGACACTACTACACGATAATAAATAAAAAAAATAGTTTAACAACGACAATAATAATAAAATAATATCCAAATATAAAAATTCAAAAATTAATATTTTTATATTATATCAAGAAAAAAAATATCTATACATTTTCGTTAAAAACAGGTTTTTCATTGTTCTCAATCATTTTTAACATTAATTTCTTGGTCTAAAAAAATATTCGTCTTTTGGACTTGGAAATTTTTCCTAATTAATTAAGCGGGTAATCCACTTTTTAAAAAAATGTCAAAAAAATTTATGTTAAAAACACGTTTTTCATTATTCTAAATCATTTTAAGCATTAATTTTTTGTTGCAAAAATTTTTTTAGACTTGGACTTAGAAATTTTTGCTAATGAAACTAGGAAGCCCAGGTAGGTCCTGGGTTGGACCTGGGTGGGTCAGCCCACATTTGAATTGCAATATCTCTTAGTGTTTAGCACCAACTTAAACGAAACTTAAAATCAGCGAACGAAATTAGAAATATATTTTACTAATGATAATTATATTGCAGTCTGTATCTGTTTAAATAAATAAATAAATTTTGCTGTTTTATTAACTTTTGTAACAAATTACTTAAAAATTTGCAGTTTTTATCTAACTTCGCGATTATTACACTTGAGTAGTGAAATATGAAGATAATTTATAATTTTAACAATTCAGCATTTGTTTAAACAAAAAATTGTTGTTATTTATTAATTCTTAAGACAATAAAGCGTCTAGACACTTGTAGTCTTTTAAAATTTTGCAATTAACTAATCTGAGTATTTACTTATTGCAAAATTAGAAAAAACTGCTAGTTTCTAGGTTGATTGTGTAAAAAGTTAGTAAATAACAATTATTTGCTTAAACAATTGCTGAATTAATAAATTAATAAATTAACTTTATTTTATAGTATTTGTATAATTTTCTGATTTATGTCAAACAATAAATTGTTTAAACAAATATGATTATCAATTAATTTTATAAATATTAATTGAGAATATTTATCAATTTTTACATGTTTTTCATGTATCAATTTTGACACTTTATTTTCCTAAAAATTTTTCTAAGTCATAACTGGATCTCCTAGCTAGTACCAAGTTAGGACCAGCCTAGGATATATAAAAAGGGGTTGCCAAGTTAGGTCCAAGCTAGGGCCAATAATCATTTTAGGCATAGCATGGTGATTTCTACACGGGTACAGATAAAACTATTGAAAATTGAGCCATATCAAATTACGGAAAGCATTAAAAATACTATATTCTTTCTCACTTGACTGTATACATAAATTTTTATTTATGACAATAACTGTCCAACCTCATAAATTAAAATGCTGAGATTAATTTAAAAATTGACTCTGGTCTGATCAACAAAAACAACTTCAACAATCAGCATCATTAATTGAAAAAGTTGATTTGTTTATAAAATAAATATAAATGTGTTTGAAAAAATGAATGGAATAACTATTACAGCTGGTGAATTTCCTTGACTTTGAGCTTGGTTGATATTACAGTACAGAGCATGTAAGTATTGACCGTCGTGACATTTCGCACTTGGGGTAGAATGTATTTGGAAATAAAAACATCCACAATGCAGAGGAAATGCAGAGATAATGAGTTTGTTTATTCGAAATATTTCATTTCATAACAAGCTCGTTTCAACTTACAATGCTCAATAATTTAGGATCAGCAGTTTCACTCGAGAATGTTTACATAAATGATGTCCAATTCATTATTATAAACGACCGCTATACACCATAATATTTCCTAGAGGATTTCTCAGAATTTTGCAAAGCCTAATTAAAAGATCAATAATAGATCATTTATTAACATCATCAGAGATTTTTATAAATTAGAAAAATTAAATAATGCGAATTTGGTGGACTTTTGCGAAATTTCTTCCATTGAACCCCCAACAGGACTACGAATTTACTTTTTATAATAAAATATTGAATAATTACACTGTTTTGAATTTTATTTTTAATTTTTGGAAAAAATCCAAAAAGTCACTAAGAATTGGTTGTATTGTTGTATAGTAAAATTTGGTTGTTATGGTACTTAAAATGTATGATGTTTGAATAAAAAAGTATTAAAAAAAGAAAATGTTGACTTACGTTGATTTAAATAATGAGGCCACGTGACGTTTCCGAATAAATTTGATGTCTGATTTATGAGGGTAAGAGAAGCGAAAGGCGCGAAAAAGGCGAAAAAGGCGAAAAAGAAATAACGGATCGATGCACCACGCACTGCAACACATGAAACTAGGATTGTCCATTTACTCTACTTCCTCGTTGCCAGTTGCCGAAACCCCAATACAACGTTTCTTCACTGCCGCAGTGAACGAATCGCCGAAATCCAGAACAAGGAATGTCTTGGTAGTAAACTCGAGTGCGTCATTTGATTTCATAATAAATATATTGTAAACAATGCATAGTCAAACTGCAAAATAATAAATAAACTCGTAATAAACTCGAATGAGATTGAGAACCAGCAACCAGCCCGGCTCCAAAGCCTGAATCAAGTCGAACTGACTGACGTCCTAAAGGTTAGGCGTTTTCCTATATTCTTCTAGTGTCTCCGTCTGTTTCTCGTCGCCTCGTCGCTCTCCGTCTCTAAATAAAAGGGGAATATCAAATATACCGTCTTTCTCTTTCCAGCCCATTCCCCTGTTTAGAATTTAGACTCTTTAACGACCTCTCTGTCTTGCCCATTGCGTCGAGCCGATCGAGCCTAAGTTTTAGACTACGCAGCGTAGTAGTTGTTGCCCCCTCCCCTCCCGTTTCAGTTTTACCTTATCCGCTATGTGAAATTAATGCGTGCCTGCCATGCCGCAACCACCAGCACCACCAGCGCAGGCAGCTCGTCAACAAAAAGCGAAATCCTAATACCTAATATATGGGGCATTCCTTATTATTCACACTTTCAATTTATAACAACAACGAACATTGGTTCGTCCTTAAAACTACTGCCGTTATATTGCAAGAAAAACATAAGTCATTTCTTAATTACCCAATACTTTCCATTTTTATTTACATTCTGAGGATTCTGAGCAAAATGTGAAAAAAACGTTATAGATTATACTCTCCTCCACGAGCAGTCGAAGGAACAGTTCGATTAGAGTCAGTAACATTTGCACTGCATGAGCTTCCCGCCAGCGCTTGCTCAAAGCAATAATTTATATATGTAGGTGTATAATAAAACTATTTATGAAAAACACTTGCGCTGTACAAATCAATATTCAAACTTTTTGTGCAATATTTACAAATGGTTGACACATTTATATTATTAACATTATTATTATACAAAACTTCTTATCTTTTACGAGATATATATACAGTACATCTACAACAATACGAACTTTTTTCTTTTCAGAGTTAAAAATTTAGTTGTAATACCTCTGTGAACTGTTATTAAAAAATACTATTGAATAGCATACTCAATTACCTATTTGTTATGTTATTTCTTGTAACTGCGATTTTACAGCATATCTAGAGTCAGAGCTTCCAGTTTTTGATTCGTATGATAAAAACCAAATAATATCAAAGCAGTTGTTATTATACATATTTCTTAATTTTTAAAAGCAATACTCATTGTTAATTATCTACTTTTTTCTTTTCATAAATTAAAAAGTTAAAAATAGAAATTAGTGTTTTTATTAGTATGCCTTAAATAAAATTATTAATGTAATTCAAGTATTGTTAATTCACCTCAAGGTAATATTGCAGTTATTGGATTGCGAATCAGGGTGGTCACTAGTTTCAGTTTATCAATTTCCCTGACAATTTACTGACATTAAAATTATTTTCCCTGAAAAAATTCTTTTACAGGAAAATATAAAAGTTTACGGAAAATGAGTAAAATTTAAGAATTTTAATAATTTCAAAAAATTACAACTTCTAACCCTTTCTGAATTCAATTATTTTCTCTAATTTCCAACTAAACTTCATCTCTAAATCAATATTATTTTAAATAATTTTCCGAAAGTTCTTCGAGAATTAAATTATTTAAATACGAAAATTCAATTTTTTATAATAATTCAACTATATCCATATTTTTTCAGTTTATTAAGGTATAATATTTTCAAAAAATAAAAATAATCAAATTTTTGAAGAATTTTAATAAATTGTAAATATGAGTCCAAAAAGTACCTATGTACATTTTTATTTGCTTTATTCGAAGATAATTAAATCTTAAAAAATTATGATAAAAAAATTCTAAGAATGAAGTAGTTTTTAAAAATATTTTAAAGTAATTTTTCGAAAACAATTGAATTTCTTAAAAAGTTTTTATATTCTTTAAAAAAACTAATTAATTTTTTGATGAATTTTAATGAAATATTTTGCGAATATGATTTTTTTCTTCAAAATGTTCGGAAATATGTAATTGAAAGTACCGAAAATATAATATTTAAAAAAATTAGAAGCTAATTTTCATTAATTTTCCATTTAAAATTTATGTTTAAGGCTTCGTCCATAAATTACGTCACACGTTTTGAGTCCATTTTTGACCCCCTCCCCCCCTTTGCCACACTACGTAACATCCCTCTAAATTACGTCACAATTCGTAAACCCCCCTTTAAACAATTTTTCCAAAATGAATCACTGTCAGTATCTAATTTTACATAAAATAAAGTTACTTAGGATATAATTAGTAAATTTAAAAAAATTTTAAAACAAGAAATTTATTTGATATTACTTCCTCATAGAGGAAGTATTGTAATACCAAAATTTTTCGAGTTCGATTTTTTGACGTATCTTTATGTTATTTGACCTCAGAAGTTCAAAAATGACATTTTTATAAAATGTCATTCCGTATGTGTGTTTGTGTGTGTGTGTATAAATAACATCACATTTTCATAAATATCTCGAAATCACGAAGAGCTTTTGGGTTGAATTTTTTTTTAAATTGTAGATCTCACCTGCGGATATAAGTTGAGAGTACTTTCTGATATATTGATAAAATTTAACTAAATTTTTTTTTTATTTTTAATTTTGCAAAAAAACGTTTTTTGCCCATAACTAAAAAAATGTTAGGACACCTATAAATGTTTTTCCATAATTTTGTAGAGTTTTTTTAGACGCATCTTTTGAGCCCTAATTGTACATCTTTCGTCCATATTAACCGGAGCTGACATATTAACCCTCTGCTGATGCTAACTTATCCCCACTCTATCGCCAAAGAACGTAACTCCCATAGTCCCCACCAGGCGTTCAGAATGACGATTTTTGACGATAACGGTCGTTAGCATCAGCAGAGAGTTAAATTTTTAAAAATCAAAAATTTTGGAAAATAAGACTTTTTTCAAAATTTTGTTGAAAAACGTAGAAGTAACTTTAAAATTATCGTTATCAACTTGTGGAGCATTAAAAAACGCTTCGATTGACCTATTTTTGAACCTAATTCGATAATAAATTTCGAAATTATTGCTATTTTAAAAACCAAAAATTGTGAAAAATGACATTTTCTCAACTTTTTTGTTTGAAAATTCTTGTTTAACTATTAAATTATTGTAACTATCTTGTAGGGTATTTAAAAATACATTGATTGACTCAAAATTCAATCACTTTTACCATATTTATAAAAAGTTATTCATATATTTCTATTATTTTTATCTTCATGAGGAAGTAAAGTGTTCATGAAATGAGCACCAAAATTATAAAAAAAATATACAACTTGGCAGCGGTTTTTATTTTTTACAATTTTCTCATTATAATAAATAGAGTATAAAGTGTGACATAACAAAATAAAAGGTCCCCCCCCCCTTTTTCTCAATTAGTCACATTTCCATAGACCCCTCCCCCCTAAAAAATGTGACGTAATTTATGGACGAAGCCTAAAGATTTTTCATCAAAATTTTTGATAATATTCAATTATTTTGAAAATTTGCAATTAAAATTCTTTAAAAGTTGATTTTCAAAAATTCTAATAAAATGTATATATACATACTTGAAAAAATTAATTATTTTCAATTAAATTTTACAAAATTTTAATTATTCAAAATCTTTTTAATTATTGTATATTTCAAAAATTTAAATAGAAAAATGATTCGAAAATAATTTCTGAAAGATTTGTTTATAGTTATTTTTCGCACTATAAAAATCTAAATGAATTACATTTAATACTAAAAAATATGATATTTTTTGCAATATTTGAAAGAAAAGTCGAAAAAGTCGCAATTTTTTAAAATTAGAAAATTAGAAAAAAAATCTCAATTTTTTAAATTTCCCTGACAACAATTTTTTTTCCTGACATTTCCCTCACTTTACTGACATGTATGGTCACCCTGCAAATGTTAGGGTCTTGCGTTCGATCAACAAATCTATAGAATTTCAGATTTCTACCCCCTGTACTGTGAGTTACTTTAAATTTTTAACCGTGATACTTGCGCAGAGATCATGTAACCTTGCAGCAATAGGGGCCGTCCATAAACTACCTCACGCCTTAGAGGGGGGGGGGGTGGAATTCATTTTTTGTGACGTTCTGTAGAAAAAATGGCGCTAAAGCATGTAAAATTTGTGACGTGGGTAGGGGGGGGGTAGAAAAATTAGGAAAAATAGTGTGACGTAGTTTATGAACGGCCCCATATTGCGGCAACGTTACAACACAAGATTTGCAATATCGCACTCCCACACAGCACATGATATTTCCTAAATATTTCCAGAATATTTCACTGAAAGTTTGAAATATTTCAGTATGCAAGGTCTTTGAAATATTGCTGCAAACAGGAAAATGTCTGCTTCTGTGGAAATATTGACGCGAAAGTTGAGAAAATATTTCATTGAAATATTCCTGCAATATTACACATGACGATTCTGCAATATTGTGAAAATATTTCAGAAAATAAAAAAATTTGTTAAACACCTCAAACCAATAGGAATTTTTTGAAATATTTTAAAACCCATAGGATATAGTAAGCCAAAAACTACTGCGATACAGGCCATCCCATGCAGAAATTGAGATTGGAATTTTATGGGGTCCTAGCCAGAATTCCCTATCTGTAGTGGGGAACTGATTAGAGAAAATCGTTAGAACCCAACTACTTTCATAACGGTCGGCAGATGGGGTATAGACTAGAATATCTAGTCGGGAACTAGTATTAAAACTAGCTGTGTGTTGATAGGGCCCCGACTAGAATTTTCTAGTTGACTTTTAAAAATTATTATTTTTCAACTTAACCTATTTATAATTAAATTCTTCATTCATATTAACATTATTAATGAATGTTGTACACGAAAAACCTGAAACTTGAGTTGAAAAATCTCGTGCCCATGGGGGATCGAACCTTGGACCTTGGGGACTCCAGTCGGATACACATACCTCCCGGCCGTGATAGCTTGGAAGCACCTCCGCTTAAATAACATCCCGTGCAGCAATTCACCATTTGCCCCTATCTCTAGTAGGGCTCTCGCTAGATTCTAACTAGAATCTCTAGTCTAGAAAAACTAGTCGGGTTCCAATCAAATTCTAGTTAAATAATTTTTACCAGCATTATTTTTTAAAAAATTTTGCATATTATTTAATTATTTCATTTTTTAACATATTTGAAACCCAATTTTTAATATTGTAGAACATTCTTACATAAAATTCCA